GCAAAGTAGACAAGAGCAACTAAGGATCTTGGGGTCCCAGAGATCAATTGTACTGGGGCTTCTTTGCACAATTTATTACTTTTGGTAGGGAACCCTGCCATGTCAGGAAGAAAAGGATATTCGTTTAGTTAAATTGGAGTTATTGAGGGCTGGGAAGTAGTAAGATTGGAGTGACTGGAGGTCACAGTGATAGGAAATTCTAAAGTGAAAAATTAACATATAATTTGCATGGATGAACAGGAAGCTCAGTGTAGGCAATGCAGCTAGATCCTGAATAGATATATGAACTAGGGTAATTGGAAGGACTAAGAAAGATCAGAAAAATAATAGGGTAATTTGGTGGTGATGGAAATGAAGAGATTATAGTTAAAGAACAGAAATGTGAGAATTCAAGTCTGACAGTGGAGCTATCTTGGACAACACTAGATATCAAGTTAGCAAAAGCAGTGGATTGTGAAAGTAAAATGGAGATGGACTTGTTTGTTTTTGTTCTTTACTTACAGATTAAAGTCTCCGAGTACTGTGCTAATGCTATGAGAGGTATAAAATAGCATATATGGCTTTTCCTTCAAGGAGCTAGCAGCTTAGTAAGATCGAACAGGATTTAGCAGTTACACAAACATGTTTAATACCACAGAGAACAAATGTTGCAATAAAGGAATCAGGAAGTCTAGGGGCACTAAAGTGGAAGAGATTCATTCCAAATACAAGGGTTATAGAAAATATCATGGAATAGATGGCACCTGAGTTAACTTTTTAAAATTTGAAATGGATTTTGACAGGCAGAAATAACACAGCTGGTATTTTTGACAGATTTTTCAGTTCTTAAGAAGTCCAGTCTATAGCCTTCAAAATACAGCCTGAGGTGTGCAGAATATGTGTTGCCTTCTTCATTTCACGACTAGAGGAACTGCGGGTCAGAGAGTTTCCCAGTGTTAACTGACTTGCAAGGACCTTGGAGATGTTGAAGGAGCATAGATGGGCATTTCACACAAAGAGTACCAGGGAGAAAGACACTGTTGCATAAAGTGCAGGATTTCTTTAGGGAATGATGAGTTATGTGGTTTCAACTCATGAAACATCCAGTGAATTTAAGGTCTGGAAAATAAGTCACAAAAAATAACTTGAAAAAGCTCCTGATGTACCTAAACAGCTTAGGTTTGTGCCTGAAAAATTAAAGAGAAGACACAGCAGTAAACTAAGGTAGTGCACACAGGGAAGAAACAACTCAGGTCTGCTGTGTGTGGATTACACTCAATAAGACAGAGTAAAACGCTACAGTCACAAACCCGAGGGGCCTCTTCTTATTTCTTCCTTTCCTTGAATAGCATCCTCCCACCAATTAAGTGATAATGAAATCAAGTAAATGAGTCAATGTTCCGTCTTCACACGGGGCCACTCTGAGACCGATTTTTCTCATAATTCCTTTTGTGTATTGCAATACCCTTCTCACATCCCTCAGACTTTATTCTCACTTTTTCTCCATATCCTTCACCCCACAGAGAGATATTTCTAAAATATAAGCATGACCCTTTTCCTCCAGTGCTTCAATGTCTCCACTGGCTCCCCTGACCCTCAGGATCAAGTTGCAGCAAGATATGTGAATTATCACTGATTTTGCCTTGTCCAATCACCAACTTCATGACTTGCCTCCTCTTCAGATCCACACACAATATGCCAGACAACACATATTTCTCTGGATATACTATGCTTTTCATGCTTTGAACATTTTCTTTTGGATTAATTATCTCCTCTTTAAAAGTTTTGCTTTCCCTTACCTGCCCAGCCAAGCCATCCCACTGCTTAGCCCAACATGGTGGAGCAGTTTTGATTCTACTCACTCCTTCATAATTCATTTAAAAAAGCAGTTATTGAATCACGTCATTTCTAATGCCTTTAAGGGGAAATTATACGTAGAACTTCAACCATATGTGAAAGTACCGAGATCCTTGTTAAATCTGTAAATCGTTCTCATTTTTTAGGGGAAATTGGGGCACAACTAAGTGAACTAAGTTGCTTCATCTTCACTCTCACTAATATAGGTTTATTTCAGTTTCATATCACTTCAAGTTTTACCAGTGAGAGTCCTTCCCTCGCTGGTCTAACAGGACCATCCAAGCCACACAAATCTAGCCATTGTGGTCCTCTACATAGAGTTCTGCAGTGGTTCCTTGCAGACTTTAAGCCCACCTCATTCTGAGTCTGCCTGTTTTTCCATGGTGAGCTCCCAGAACTCATGCTCATTCCAGCCACTCCAAACTTTTACATTTTAGTCTCTGTGGCATAAAAGTACATGTCCTCTTGTGGGGTAAAATCAACAATGAATCAAAACAGGAATCACAAACTGTATTAATTAGAAATGATGTATATTTATTTGATCGCTTATGTTAGGTTGAAAATTATTCATGAATTTATATAGTGAGCAGTATACTTTTCATTCAAGGAAGACTAAATTTGTATTTTAAATGAACAAACCTACTCTGAAATTGAGCAACATTTGAAAATACTTTTTACTGCCAGAAGAGTTACCAAGAATCTTTAGAAAACTGTATAAGTGGACAGTGGAAAAATAAGCCTGAACAAAAAACTTCGGACTAACTCTTCAGTGATGTAATTTTTGCGTGTGTGTATATATATATATATATATATAAAACTAAGACTAAGACACATAGTTTTGTCTGGGTATCCATAAGGTTACTGTTAATGCTGTAAAAGTTTAATGTCTCACAATGCTAAATTAATGGGTAATGGAGTCTATTGATTCCATAATAAATATTAACTCTTATTGTTTATCTAGAATTACATTTTCTAAAAGCTACAAATAAAAACAAAAGCACTGCAGTTTTTCCCTAGTGCTTGATGAGACAATAATTCTATGTGGGTACGTTTTCTTTTAACACTGAAATATTGCAATCAAGACCATATTGATGGATTATTCAGGGGAATATTATACATAGAACTTCATCCATATATTAAAGTATTTAGATCCACCAGTTATTCAGAAAATACTTGTTAAATCTGTACAGTAAATTCTTCTCACTTTAGATGAAATTGAGGCACAACTAAGTGAGCTAGTTTACTAATAACCTTCTTAGTAAACTAGCTAGGCCCCAGATAACTGTAATTTTTATGATCAACTTATTCTATCAGTGGTCATATGTAATCAAATAAACTGTTCAAGTGTTTCACTTATGTTCATGAAAGAGTTTCCATATTTGAAAAGTTGAAACAGAATGTAAAAATTGATATGTATTAACTTACAAGTCTAGTCTCATAAAAGATCAGCCCCTCAATTATTCTATGTAGGGACTATGTAGCATCCATAATTACATAGATTGAAGATTTGATCTAAGTGTACTGACTTTTATTAGCTAAAAATATCTAGCTGCTGTTATTCATTTAAAGCAGAGAAGACAAACATGATCAAGATATGCTTTAATTTATGGTAAATGAAGCAGTGGTTACAACCAGTGAGCAGAAAGAAATATGTATTACTAAACTCCAATTATTTCTCATTTTCTATGGATGGTTAAACTTCTGTCTGAATACTTTAAACATCTTACTTGTTGTTAAACATCAGAATGAAAGCTAAAAATATCGTGTGAAATTATAACATTATTTTCATTCAATGCATACACTGTCACAAAATCAAACTAACTTTATTTCAAAGAGATGCACAATAGTTATACTTCTGAAATTCTTTTAATGTATTTTTAAAAGAAAACAAAAACGTATATCTGAGCACATCCCTGTTTTCATTATAAAGTGCTGTGTCCAAAATATGAGAACCAGTTTCTCTAAAAATATTGACAATTTGAACCCTCAGAGTCGTGAATGCCCAAGGCCTTACCATGTGCCCAGTTCTGAGACAGGAAGGCAGAGTGGCATAAATCTAGCAGGAGACCTAAGTCAGACATGCTCTACCGGATTTTCTTTGTTTGGGGATTAAACTCATGTTTTATATCCACAAATGTCTAGTAGAAGAGCCAGGAAAGGTGTTTGTTTGGAGAAAACATATAAATTTATACATTTTACATAGCATTTTGAATACTGAATTGCAGAAGTTTTCTATTCATAATTGACTGGAATTGAAATATAGTTTGTGTATCATGTTGCACAATGAAGTAATTCTTAAGCATGAGACTTTGGCTGGTTTCCATCCATTTTGGGATTTTATATATTCCTGTCCATTAAGTTTATATCTAAATATTAAAATATCTGGAAGGAAGGAAGTCACTGAAACTATAGGGCACACTTTTAAATTCAATAGCACTTTTGTGAACAATTTTAAAAAGCATCATCTAATTGTCTATGACAACAAAAACAAAAGTCAATAATATACTTTCAGAATGCTTAGACTGATCATAACATTTTAAGAAAAAAGTTTAATGTTAATGAAATTTTCAGCATCCATGCAAATGGAGAGCATGATCATTTAGACCTGGAAAGGAGGTATGAATCTCTTGTTCCAAATCATCTTTGAGAAGATTAACAGACTGAGAATGAGGGTGGAGAACAATGGATAAAGTGCTGCCACTCACGTTATCAAGTGACTTTTTAATGTCACGCTGAATGTTTTATTGCCTGTGTTTGTGATCTTTCTAAGTCAGAAAATGCATTGACAAATGTTAAGAGGAGACAAAGGTAGCCTAAATAATAAGTAAACTATGCATAATGTTATAGCAAACTGGGAAAAGAATGCATCTAAAATTTCTTAGATTCTCTTTCATTTACATATTGTATGTTTTAGAAGTCAAAGTTTCTCCATAGTTACCTGAATCTAAAGATGCTTCCTACTAAATTGAAATTGTATGTCATTTGGGTCTATCTTCAGTGTTTCATTTAAAACAGAGATGTTTATAAAGTCAGGTAACCAAATATGAATTTGGAGGCTGATATTTATATTGTTTCAAAGATAAGCTTTTCAACAGATACTATTATGAGTTGCAAATAGATCAATGACAGTATGTTTTGATCTGATTTGTTCTGAACCTCTGCAGGCAGAATGCCTTTCAAGTCATTGCTGTGGATGGGGTCTGCAGTGGGATTATTCAGTGCCTCTCTGCTGAAGACTGCGTTGACTGGCTACAAGCAATAGCAACTAATATTTCAAATCTCACAAAGCACAATGTAAGTGACGATTCAAGGAATACCTAGCCAGGGTTTATCGGGCTTTATAAAATCCTTCAATTATATATGTAACTTCACATCAATTGTTTAGTGTTCTTCTCAGAATGAGACATTCATTATGAAAGCTATTTTGGAATACTTATTGAAAGAAAATTGAGAGTTCTAGCCCAATTTATGGTTCAATAATTTGCATAGATTTCCATTAATAAGCATCATAAATCCCTACATTACTTAAGCAAATGAAAACAAGTAGTTAGCATATAATCGCTAAATATATTTAAGTAAAATCATTCTGGACTAATATAATACTGGAATTCAAGACAGCATTATTGGTTTACCTTTAGAGATCTTAGAATTACAGTTAGGAAGGTTTGAGGAGTAGTAGGCTAGGACGAAAGAGTTAGCACAGAGACTGAAGGAAACAGTCAGAAGAGTCAGAAGATTGCCGTTATCTCACATTAGGTAGAGCCTGGTCTGTATTATTAGAAATGGCTTCTCTGCATTTTCTCTCTTTCCACTACAACCGTTTCTTCCTTCCACATTCCTGTGTCTCTTTATTGTAGCTATCTTCGCATTATTTTAACTCTTTAATAGCCTAAACAATTCTTTCTCCCTGTTATTAATACTTCTATGAGAAATATAGTCTAACAAAATATACAAAACCATAAACCTCAGCTTACTGAATATCAATCTAGGTATCATTAATAATAATTGTTTTAGAAAAAGTACTTGTCATCATCCATACCCTTGTGTTAATTCTCTCCTCAGTCCACAATTGTTCATGCCATGTTGAGGCATTTCAGAAGTCCTAAGGGTGATTGGGAGTCTAATATACAAATGGTCAAGCAGAAATACATAACTCTGTCACCAGCACGTGAACACACAAAATTGTTCTTATGTAAATGACCCTTCAGATCGAAGTATCCTTGCACAGAGTAGACTTTGCTTTGAAACATAAGAAGGAATTGTGGCGACTATGCCTTTCTAAAACGACAGGAGGACCACTAGCCAATAAAGGCAACTGTCTTGTTTCCAGTCTATGGCTATTTCAAACAATGCCATCATAATGGCCATGCATACGGTGATGGGATGCTCTGGGAATAGTGTTGACAGTCATGGGATATGTGCATGGTCAGTTTTACCATGCCATGCTAAATGTTTTCCAATTGGCTGTGCAGTTTACCCCTCACTCTTGGTGGATGATATGTCTCTTTCTATAGATAATTTTCAAAACTCTGGGTCACCCTGCCTTTTGAATTTTTGGTTATTTGATACATGTGGAAATGTGCTTCCAGTGTGAATAAAAACAGATTTTATTTTTCTCTTTTTTTTCTTTTTGGTGATTCCAGGATAGGTGCAAATATGCCAAGCCTTACCCAGGGTCATCCCTCAACAAGGAGGCTAGACATGGGTGTGCCTAGCTTGGGCAAGAGTGAGTGCTCACTCCCAGCCCGCCCTTGCTAATCCAGTGTTGTCACCACATTTAGAGTTGAGTTTGCACAAGAGGGCATAGGTTTCAGAATGACTGAAAAACAAAGAAAAAAAATGGAAAAGAAATGCAGTGTTTCTCTAGGGACTGTCTCCTCTCCTTCGACTGACTTACATGGATGTTTCTAGAGTTAAACACAGAAAAATACCGCATGAGGCTAGGGAATTTATTACAGAAATGATTAGTTTCTTAAAAACAAGTTATGAACTTATATTTGTGAGACAAATGTTTTGGAAAGAACACAATGTTAAACTTTAAACCCAAAGTTTTTTTTTTTTTTTTCCTTACCTAGATACAAATTTGCATGACCTAAAATCTTGGGAATACTGTCATGTTGTATTTCTTCAAACGGTCTATTCAGTTAGAATGCTGTGCTTCAGCTGACAAGCATTTGAAAAGTCAATGCTTTAGTTAAAAGCAACAGCAATAACAAAACAGTGAAGATGCAAATGTCTCTACCTTTTGTAAGCCTAAGGAGGGACAAGTCACATTTTACTGCTTGCTTTTCATCCTTGTATTAAGTGCTCACCATCTTACTTAGGAAAGCAAATGATTCCCCTATACTATTGTTTTAACTGTTGGGAGATCCATATGTTTGTTGAATATTAAAAGTTATGTATTTCTTCTTTCACCTCCTGTTTCTATATTCTAATTACATGTTCTTTTGTTCTTGTAATCAGTTTCCATTCAAAAGCATTAGGTTACAATGTACTCTGATATGGAAAGTACTACATAAATGTTGAAAAGTTATTAGGCATAGCAATAAAAAATGTGAAAGTCACATTGACTTTGGAGAAGGCACAATGCATTGATGAAACAATATGGTTGATTAGCATAAAGAAATAAATTAGGCAGAAAGAGTAGCTAGGAAAACTTTTGATTAGGATAGTTAGATATCAGTTCTACTTCTCTTACTTTTTTTTTAATTCTAAAGATATACTGGAAATAATACCTTATTGAAAGATGTAGAACTTTTTCTTTACTTGCCAATATGCCGAGAGTATAGGCTTGTGTAAGTCTGACTTGAATAGTTTGTTAATAATAGGTGCAGAAATGAAAATATTGTGATAAAATATTTAAAGAAATTCCACTCAAGAGATTATCAGGCATAAAATAAAACTGAAAAAAGGATTAAAATGCATATAAAATAATAAGTTTGACAGTTTAAAAATTGTGCTATTGAAATAAGACATACATATGTATATAAACTTTTTAATAATGAATCACATTTTGTTGTAAACTAGTTGGAGAACAGACAGGGGAAGGATAAAAGAGAGCAAAAACAAAAAACAAAAAACAACCTGTGTTAGTCAATGTACTGATCATTTTCTTTTCTCTTTGCTCACTAGTTTCTAAAAGTAATCTTATGAGACTGGGATTTTCATACCTAGTTTTTAAAAATTCTATATAATTATAGTTGCTATCTGAAAAAATTCTTCTTCCAGAAATAATTGATCATAATGGTTAAAAAATACCTAGACACACATTGACAATGTAAAATTATATTTTATCATTATTCAGAGTGGCTCCAAAATATTTACAATAGTTGTTAATATTTGATATTTAGTGAATATGTCTAGTAGAAAGAGTGTGAAGGCTTTAGGGACTTGTCTTAAGCTGTATTGGCACAGGTTTCAACTCATTTTATTCAAATTCTATGCTTTCACATTGGAAAGCGAAGCATGGCAGAGGCTATGCTGTTGTGGGGTAGGTGGGGTTCAGTTCATTTCTTAACCAGCACTCAAATAATGAGCATTTGCTATTATTTTAGATGAGCATTCACTCCCCGTATCTATTATTTTAGGTAAAGTGGACTTGAGTAGATTCTAAAATGTAAAATTTATAAATTGTAAGAAAGATTAATTGATTCCAATTAATAATTTACCAATTTTTTTCATTCATTATTTCACCAGCTATAGGAACAAGTATTAGTAGAAAGTTATCAATTTTTATTTCCATGATTACTTCATATTAAATAATTGAAGTCTTTAAAATATGCAATGTTGTAATAGGGTGAAGTTTTTGGGAACCTTGGAAATAAGTAAATATATTTGGCATAATATATAAGGGATATGAATCATCAGACTTTGATGGGTAAGTTAGTAAGATGCTCCCCCATGATTTTCACTTCTTGATATTTATACCCTTATGGGATCACCTTCCATGTCCGTTGGCTGCATAGTGAGCTCTGAAGCAGACGCTTCTCTTACAAGACTTCAGATGAGATAGCAGATGACCCTTGAGAGCCTTTTGAGAAATCTAGTACATGCTAACCCACACTAATCACATGCTGAGGGCTCAGCACACGCCAGTCACCTCAGGGATCAACACACAAAGATGTACCAACCAGAGGCCCATGCCAGCTGTTCCCTACCCTGCACTCCATCTCACACCACACAAGCACAGGCTGTACAGACAAGCTATTTACTTCTTATTATAACCTTGGACCCTTTCTGCCCTGGAAAGTGAGGGTGGGCAAGAAGGCTGGGCCCAGCATGCACCACCACTTCTTTGAGGGCCGATCCCTCCTACAGCATCAGGTCGGTGGGGGCAGGGGTAAAGGTTAGAGAGTGGGGGAGAAAGTCAAAAACAAAAAACAAAAACAAAAACAAAACAGGGGATGAAGACCCAGCTATGCCACATATGGACTCCTGACATACAGAGATTATAGGATAATAAATATTTGGTTAAAGTCACAAAGTTTTGGGATATTCTGTTACACAGCAATAGGGAACTGTATTAGTTTCCTAAAATTCCAAATTTTCTTAAAACAATTTCAAAGCAAATTACCACAAACTTGGTTACTTAAAACAACAGAAATTCATTTTCTCACAATTCTGTGGCCCATTTGTCTGAAATCTGAAGCCAGCAGGATACATCCCTCTGGACTCTGTAGTGGAGAAGTCTTGTTTCTCCCAGTCTTTGGTGGCTGCCAGCATTCCCTGGCTCACAGCCACATCACATAGACCTGTGCTTCTGTGGTTACATTGCTTCTTTCTCTGTGTGTCACTTATGAGAACACTTGTCATTGGTCCCAGGGCCCACTCACATATTCCAGCCTGACCTCACGATGTTTAACTGAAGTAGATCTGCGAGGATCCTTTATCCAGTTCTAGGTTTTTGATGTGGATATTTTGGGAGGAGCATTTTTGGCCTACCACAAGAACTATCTGGCAGGTGAACAACATGATTAGATTTAGACAGTTCTGTCTGATTTTTGTGCAGTGTCTATGGTAGCAGCTCAGTTTCAAAGCCTTTGCTTCGCCATTTGGGTGTTCCACACATGCATTGCTTGGGGTGGACCCAGAGCTTCTCGCAGTTCGCACATAAAATTGGGATATCGCTTCCTTCCCTTCCCTCCTAGGTGGGAGTTCCCCACTCTTACTGGATCCCAGCATCACTCTCTTTGGTCTTCTGTCCAGAAATCCAAGACTTTTCTCAGAGTTTAGTTTCCTGTACTGATGCACATTTCCTCATGACTGGAAAAAACAGCATGAGAAAAGGAGAGAAG